TACATAGTCATTTCTTATGATTTATGAATTTTTTTCTTTGGTGTTTAGAAGTCTATATGAAGTATGCACAGCTGGTACAGTGAAAAGGCTCATTAAATCAGTTTTGAACAAAAAAAAAAGTCTATATGAAGTTCCCATAAATATTTACCCACATAATTTTCCATTTCTTACTGGGTTTAAATTATTTGAATTTGAATTCTATCTGGAATTTATGTTGGCAAATAGTTATCAGGTAGAGTCTTTTGCTGTATTTATTTGTTTATTTATTTTTGAGACAGAGTCTCACTGTCACCCAGGCTAGGGTGCAGTGGCATGATCATGGCTCACTGCAGCCTCTACTTCCTGGACTCAAATTATCCTCCCTCCTCAGCCTCCCAAGTAGCTGGGACTATGGGCATGTGCCACCACACTATATTGCCCAGGCTGGTCTCAAACTCCTGGGCTCAAGCAGTCTTCCCACCTTGGCCTCCAAAAGTGCTGGGATTACAGGCATGAGCCACTGCACCCAGTCCTAGTCTTTGAGTTCTACAACAAATTTATCAGAACACCTTCTAAACATCCTGAACTTTGTAATCATGCTGTACTCTCAGCCTAGATTACTCTTTCTTCTACTCTCCAAACAGATATCTTCTCTAATAAAATACCACCTCCTCAGAGAGGTCTCCTAGGTCACAGCCACTTTTTTTTTTTTGAATTGGAGTCTCACTCGGTCGCCCAGACTGGAGTGCAGTGGCCGCTCCTGGCCACCGCAGCCTCGCCTGTTGGGCTCCGGCGATCCTTCCGCCTCAGCCTTCCAAGTAGCCGGAATTACAGGCATGCGCTACCACATCCGGCTGATTTTTTTTGATTTATTGTAGAGATGAGGTCTCGCTGCCCAGGCGGGTCTAGAACCCGCAGACTCAGGCAATCCACTCACCTCAGCCTCCCAAAGGCGCGGGATTACAGGCTGAGCCACCGAACCCGGATCACAGCCACTTTTATATCCTCATTTCAGTAAATTCATGTGCATTGCGGGTACCACATGGGTAGAATTTAATTGACATTTAAAATTTTTTCAAACCCATTACACTGTGATTTGGTATAAATCAAAATGTTATTATGTAAACAGTAAGTACTGAAACAGAGTAGCAGAGTATATATGTATTTGTTTTGAGTGAGGCAAATGTCCCTCACTGAAAGAATGAACACATTTTGCAAAGGAACCTAGACTTTAAAGAACCCAAGAAAGGAAAATACCCACAAATATTACATTTTGATATTGAGATGTATGAAAAGGATAATCGATTACACATAAAGCAAGGAAGTGCCAGCATCAAAACTTACAAACAGGTGGCAGAAGCTTGCAAGAAATCTCAGAGACTGCACCCCAAAAATGCTGACTCATCAATACCTGCCCTGACAACACAGAATAGGCTATTATATGGAAAATGGTGGTTATCAGCAACTGTGTGGGAGACTGCATGTGGAGAAATAGCAGGACTGCCTCAACCAATTTATTCTGTGTATATTTTGTTATGAATGCACAAGAGTAATATATGGAAAATAAAATAATCTTACAACTGAAGTTATCCTGAATTCCATGAAATAATTGTCTAATACGAAATGCCAGAGGAACGTGCTCTTTCATGTGCTCTTTTAAGGTTGACACAGTGCTTTAACAGACTAATACAGCTGGGCTCGGTGGCCCAGCCTGTAATCCCGTGCTTTGGGAGGGTCAGGTGAGTGAATTGCCTGAGCCCGCAGGTTCAAGACCTGCCTGGGAAACTTAGCGAGACCTCATCTCTACAATAAATTTTAAAAAATTAGCTGGGCGTGGTAGCGCGCTCCTGTAGTTCCAGCTACTTGGAAGGCTGAGGAGGAAGGATCGCCAGAGCCCAGCAGGTCGAGGCTGTGGTGGCCGGGAATGTGCCACTGCGCTCCAGCCTGGACAACAGTGAGATTCCAACTCAAAAAAAAAAAAAAAAAAAAA